CGTTGCGGCATAACAAACTTAACCTTGACGTCCATAAGAGGCTGTTTACACAGCTTAACCTCACCTCAACCTTGTTTATTTTCATTTTTCTGTGAATTTCTAAAGTGTTTTTAGCAGTTTGGGAAAGAGAACGTTTTTTGATAGAAATTTTTATTTTTAGCGTTGTTGTGGTTCATGTAATTTATGTTTTTGACATTTATTTGCCTCTGGCACAATTTATATTTGTCAAAAATGCCAAGATTGGCAAGGCATGTTTCATATGCTCATTATCTTTTAATACAAGTGAACTACAAACTTTTACCTCTTCGCAACATCAGGAGATTCCAGCAATAACTTTTGTAGATAAGCAATAAGCATTCTGCATTTTATCAAAAATCAAAAAATATTTATGAACCATATATTTCAGACTGCTTACACTTCTGGAGCAACTGATTGGAGGTGCAGAAAATCACCTTGATGTATCTTATATTTAGGCCTTTCTACCTACTTGGGGCACAGCTTCTTTGGGTTCGTTTTGTACCTGATGTCCAGGTATTTTATTAATAAATAACTATTCCAAGTAACTACGAACATTAAAGAAAATTGAAATAAATTAAAATTTATCAAATTAAACTCTGAAACAGGTAGAAATAAGTGAAATAACACACATTTATATCTGCGTGTTTATATGGAGGCATGTCTAACCTCAATGGTTTGTTTACATTTGTGCCGCATCGCCATCTTGAATTATCAGCTGATTCGAACTGCCTAATTTTGGGCTTGTTAATAAGAAACCTTGCATCTTTTGCTGTTGCGACAAGTAGCAAATGCCAGTGTGTGATTTAATTGGCTCATACTTTTTATTTTGGTCTGTTGCGGGTTAAAAAACTGTTTTTTGGAATTTATTTTCTTAATTTGAAACTTAATATTTGTATTAAAATAAGAATTATGTACTGCTGTTGTTTTGCAACTGTAAGAAATGAAAAATTTTATTAGAAATATATAATGAAATTTTGGGTCAAAATTTGAGCGTAACACTTGAAAATTTTGTTTGGGTTAACTCGATGGGCCATGGGCCTCACCAGTTTGGATTGTCACGAGCCGCCACTGTAATGCTTACCAAATATAACAATAGTATTTTTTTTTCAATATACCATAAACCAACTAGTGCAAACAATATAATACCTTTTAAGCCTAATCATCCATTTTCTCACAAATTAGCTGCTTTTCATAGTTTCTTCCATAGACTCTTTTCTGTGTCAATGAATACCGACAATTTCAATAAAGAACTAAACATAATCAAACAGATCGGTGACAATAATGGTTATCCAATTGCCCTTGTCAACAAAATCTATTTCAAGCATATGAACAAATTTCTCAACCAGAATCTCTTTACTCTTCCATCTAATGATTGTAAATATGTTTCTTTGCCATACCTCGGTTCCATCTCATTAAAAATTTAAAATTTACTAAGACAATATGATTTGAAAGTTGCCTTTAAGACTTCACACTCCTTACGCAATTATGTAGTTAATTCTAAGGATCCAGTACCCCACCAAGATAGATCCAGAGTTTACTGCTTGACGTGTCCAACAGACAATGCAAAATATATTGGTCAGACAGGGAGAAGTTTCTCAGTGAGAATAAAAGAACACATGTCTGAATTTAATAAGGCCATTGATAAAAATATTATATATATTTTGCGAGACACTTATTTTTTCATAAACATAACTTCAATCCAGATAATGACACAAAGTATCTTCATTTTCTTGAGAAAGGATTACTACTAGACCTTTATAAGGTTTTTGAAATTAATTGTGCGTTTTTAAGCCGGCTACAGACGGTCCGGCAAGCCTGTCAGTTCAAACTGAACAGTTAGCCTGAAGGCCGGTCGCCGGGGAGACTGATGATCCTCCAAATGTTCAGGCACACCTGAAATATTCTTCAGTCTCATGATGATTGAGAGGGTTAATTTTTTTGAGAACAGGGTAGACTTCGTACAAGAAGGAACGATTTCCTTCCATTTTTCTACCAATTTCAAATACTTCTTTCTTGTCACGATCGCAAAATCGCAATAAATTTCGATTCTATTTCGTGCGACATGGCGTAACAAGCTCACTACTCACTACCATGGAATAAGGTTTAAGAGGGGATATAGAATGGAAAGTTTATATATGTGGCGCCATCTATACGCTTGGGTCAAAGTAAAATGATTTTGGCGGAATATTTGAATTTGAAATTTTGTTTGTGGATGATCTTATTGGGTCTTGATCAGATTAGACATTAGCTATTATATTTATCCCTTATTATTAGAAATAAATATAATATGTAATAACCAAGACTGATTGTAGGCAACGCCAAAAACGTTTTTTGAATAATGATTTAGTTTTTGAAAATGATGACTGCACCACTCTACACATACGGTTCAATATTTTATTTTTTGTCTAAAACAAAATAATGTTTATCGGTGAAAAACTTAGTGAAAGAGAAAGACAAATATAATTATGATGCTCCAAATGTAGCTTTTTTGCCGTGGCGCCATCTACTTGAAATTGCTTGAACTGTTTTTACGTTTAAAATTCGTTTTAAAGTCATCTCAAAAAATCCGTAATAATTTCCAAAATCCTGTGGCATAAACATTATTAATTGATATATTATCTACAATCTCTACAATTAGCTTTTTTTAGTTTTTCGTGGTTATCAATAAAATATGCTTTTCACGGATTCAAGCTCGATAAACATGGAAATATGCAATCACCAACATATTTAGTTGTTTTGGTGGTTGCGAACATGATTTTTGAATTTAAAAAAAAGGCTGAATATCGAAAAACCATAATAAGGAATTGTAGATAAACGATCAAATAATATTTATGCCAAATTTGAGTCAATTCTGATGTGCCGTTTTTTTAAAGACCTTAAAACAGACTTCGAAAAATCAACCAATCAGAGCACTGCATTCTCATCGTTGTTGCGGCCTTAACGTTTTTTTTTTTTTTTGAATTTGAATTTTTATCAATTTAATCCATTGTAATTTTGCAAAGTCACCGACTACCATTTTGTGGAGAGCCCTAGCCCTAACATTATGCCTCTCCATAAATTTAAATTAAAATAGGACTGAAAGACAAAATAAATTAAAACTTTCTTATTGCATGTTCCTAAATAGTTTTATTTAGTGTTTTGTTTTTTAATTTTTGACCCCTTTTTTGATTTTCCTCCACCGTTTGGTAAGTTTTTCCAATTTTATACTTTTAGGACTAAATTTTCAATCATCCACTGTATCTGCCAGTTCTCTGAAGTGGGCGTTTCTTTACAGCTAATCCAGCGACCTCATTTGAAATTTATCTAATGATGATGTGTTAAGAGCACTTATTCTGAGCATACTTGTCCCTGACGATGGAACTTTCTAGTTCCGAAACATGTAGGGCTCTATAAAATAATTAAAGTTTATTTGTGGAGGAAGACTTGGGTGTTTTTCTTTGAAAATTAAATTTCAACTCCACTTTGAATCGTGGACTACTTCTTCAATTTTTATCTTATGTTATGTTATTTCTTATGTTATGTTATATGGCTGTATAAACCCACCTTAATTGTGGAGTGTATTTTAGTCTGCGGAGCTGCAATAGCCTTTGGAATATGGAAGAGCACATTGATCTTTTGATCGTATTCAAGTCATGGCGACACATAGAACCTGGATCAACGAACAATATTATATTTTTACCAAATTAGATATACATCGCGATTTCCATGAGTTGGAAACTCAAAGCAAAACCAGACCAACTCAGTTTCTGACAGATTTCGAGATTTTGGTATCCAATATCAAGACACCTAATTATTTGAGCAATTTTGATAGATGTGATAGAAATGCGTAGATTATTCTATATTTAGGTGTTTTCTATATTAAAAAAAGCCCGTGCTTCTTGTTTTCACAGATACATAATAGATATATTCGATACAACTGAGTTAACTGCATCATTAAGATATGCGTATGGAGGTTACACCACACAAGTGTAAACATACAACATACTTGTATTTTAATGGGGTTAACTCATGTGCATTGTACAATATTTTATTTACGCTTAACTACAAAATAACAATATAAACTTAACCTAAGAGTCAATTTGATAGTATAATATTTATGTCACTAGTTTCAAAACTCTTTTCTAAAAATGAGCGATTCGCAAAGCGTGATCTCTGGTATCGAAGAAGTGAAAAAGAGGCATCCAGAGCCATTTCTGAATTGTTTAACAATTTTTTTTCTTTGGCAATCATCGAATGAAGGAATGCGGTAATGGAAATGCGTGAGTTAAGAAGCCTCAACCTCACTAAAAATGCGTCAGTTAGGAGCTTCTCAACTCACTGGCGTAGATAAACATCAGCAATTCCTAGTTTTCACATCACTAAAAAATTTCATTGGGTTCATAATTATTATTAGCCCCAGCAAACCGCCATAAAACCAAACTATAGAATTTTTAATACCTATTTAGAAGTACCTACCAGTCGTTCTAGTGACTTAACGTATGTCGCTTCTTGAACACATAAATACAATTAGGTTAGGAATTTCCTATTTGTACATGATATTGACGAAAGTGACATATTAGCAATTGACGTTTGTTTTTCTTGGTAATTTTTTGTTTTATCCGATTCGTGATTGATAAATAAGGATTGCTCGTTTTCAAATTGTCACCCTGTATAAAGTTAATTACCTACTATGGATCGTACCTATCATATTGTGGCTTAATTAGATAGAACATCGCAAGGATTTCGCAAAACAGAAACAAAATTCGAGATTCCAAAAAAAACTTATAGCCATAAAGGCTAGGAAGATTCAAAAATGTTAATGGCTCGCGAACTTTATGTATTAAAAGGTCGAATTATTAATTTAGAATGCTGCAGAAACTTTAACATTATTAAAATTTGATCAGCGAAGCGTTGAAAATGCCAGCAAAATATTGAAAGTTTCATGATACGACAATCTTGCTTCATGTATTTTTGATTTTTATGGCTTTTAACAGACAACTTACCTCTATATTCGACGGTCAGAGACGTTTGCAATTCCAAGTCTTGCGAGTATCCGAAAGCGACCAGCGAAAAACCGAGAATCAATGGTAGATAAACCATTTTGTCTCGGAACTATCGGCTCATTAAAATCTGGAAAAATAAAAATGTGCGTCGTAAACGGAAATTGTGTATTTTGGTCTGTAATAAACTTCGACGTAATAAAAGTCTACTAACACCAGAGAAATTGTTGCAAGTACCAATAAAAAATGTATTTAATCTTAATCAATGCAATAAAATAGAAACTGCCGCATTTGAAATAATTAGGATCAGGGGTAGAATATCAATGCACATACAGAAATTTTTATCGTTTGTATTCAGGAAGATGGAATTGCTCTTTAGTTTCGTTGTTAGCTTCCGGTTTGTTAAATATTTTCCCTACGACGAATACTGTAAGAAGTAAAAATTACTCTTCTCTCCATATTTATGTAAACGTGTGATGTAATGGTAGAGTGAAACGCACGGTGTTGTTCGGCGGTTGACATAAAATTTTGCAAACGTAAACGGTAAGCTTGACGGCACTGGAAATGGCAATATTAAATCGAGCATAACAGATAACCCCGCTATAGCGTTTGTTTATTATCAGAAAGATCGAAAATAATACACCAAATATTACAAAATCACTCTAATTTTAATTTCCAAACGTTGCTAAACTGTTCTGTCAAGGGGGTTCTCTATCAGGTATTTAACCCTTACTTTCTTTTTGTTGATCCATAAGCTGACTAAATAATTACTACAATTCAATCCTATTTTGAAAATTTCAAAAAAAAACCCAAAACAATTCCACGTTCTGACCCACAGTAATTAATTTTAGAAGCTTTGCTTTTCCTCCAAATTTCCATAATTTCATTTTAAGCCATTCCTTTCACCCTAGGGGATTTTAACAGAATATTAAACCCAGTGAAGAGTTTTTATTACTATTTTTTTTTTAAAGAATTTAATCTGTTTTTTGCAAAACCCTTTTAAGCCAAGAATAGTTAATCTACGCGAAAGTGCAGTAATAATAAATGAGGTTCCATTGATTTTTTTTGTTCAGGAAATACACGTGAAACACGAAATCGGAAATAATGGACTAAATGGACATCTGGTCCCGAATGTTCTTGTAACGTTGCCAAACTGGATAGGAACTACGGCCCAACATTATAGCATTAAAATAAAAGACAAAACAATAATTTATGAGCTTTATACTAAAATACAGGAAACCACAAGAGCTTTTTAAGGAAAAATAAAGCTTTACCTTCCTGGAAAATTTGAAATATAACTTAATTTATGAGTTATGAACAAAGCTGCAGAAAATCCAAAGTGGCTTTAGAGAAAAATAAAACTATACCAATTTCTCGGAAAAATTCAAAGCGTCTAACTTTTGAAATAAACAAGGGATGAGTCAATCAAAATAGTATCGTTTCCATTTTTCCCTCAACCCCTTTTCAATTTACATAGAAGCGATTGTAATCACATTAGGGTTAAAAATGATTCACGCTGATATGAACTTCCGGACATTTATTTTCCTTGAATAATATAAAATTCTATATGACTCACTGTCGCTGAAAGTACAGGGAATACGAATTTATAAACGAATTATGTTTTGACTTGATCATTAAATTATCTTAAAAGCTTTACACTAAATTATTATTAGTTAGAGCTTAGGGATAGGGGGGTCAATTTTAAATATTATTGAGTATAAAAGTATCTACACACTTCTTCGTATCTTCAAGGAGTACAAGTCCTAAGAATCATATCTCTTAATTATTTATTTTAGACCTCTGTAATCTATAAGCTATGATGCGTTATGAGCTGAGTCGTGGTTTCTATTTCACATTCAAATTATTTACTAGAGTATGTTAGATTTTTGGAGACAATCTACTTGCGCAACAATGTCAATTATCTTTTCTCTACTTGAGCGTCGATACTTCCACTAATTTGTACATATGCTTTTTTTATTTTTGAGGTCTTACTTAGGATGGGCGGCCACGAAGCCCGCAAACAGTATCTACAGAGTAATGTAGGTACATAACATTGAAAATCAATAAGAATACAACAGTCAAAGTAATCCAAATTTATACACCAACAACCGGCCACGAAGACCAAGAGGTAGAGGAACTTCATGAAGAGATAACACAGTGGATTCATGAGAACAAAACAAAGTAGGTACACACAAGTTATGGGAGATTTGAATGCAAAAATAGGCCAAGATGACACCGACTCATGTTACATTGGCAAATTCGGACATGGAACGAGAAATGAAAGAGGCAACATGTTAATCAATTTCCTAGAAAAAGAGCAACTCTTTGCGATGAACACAATCTTCAAAAAGAGACCTAACAAAAATTGCACCTGCGCAAGTCCAAATGGAAAGACAAAAAACGAAATAGACTTTATACTGACAAATCAAAAACACTTTATCTAAGATGTAGAGGTCTTAGGCTCATTCACGACTGGCAGCGATCATACAATGGTAAGATGTAAAGTAGCCATAAATGACAGACCAAAAAGAGCAACAAAGTTTAAGCACTATTCACACACATCAGTTCCGTATCAGTGCCATCTCAGTTCAGTATCAGTGACAGTGAAAAATAAAATATCGTTGCCTAGTCTCAAATGAACATGTTTAGACAAGTCCGGCGCAGTGACGTTTTTTACCATCAGTGCTGCATCAGTGTCAGTTCCGTGTTTTCAATTAAAATCCGCAACGATATTTTATGTATTTCACTGACGAAAATCGATTGAAATTTGCGTTTGAATTATTGAATATGGATGATGGATGATGGATGAAAAACTAATCGAGTTGGTACGAAATTATCCAGAAATGTATGACTTGTCACACAAAAAATATATTATTCTGTTGTTCTTGGGTATATGTGGACCAATGAAACCAAAAGGTCAATATTAATGAAATTAACAATATTATATTCCAATTTTCGTGTTCCATACACTGATGCTTATTGTATATCATCGTTGTCACAAATTACAATTTTTTTTATTTTCTGAAGCGTTCGTTCTGTTTTTCGATCAAAAGTTTTTTGATATCAAAACAATTTTGAGACAATCTGAGATATTCGAAAAAATTTGTTTCATCGTCCAATTCCTTATATAGAGTAATAGATTATCTCCTTCAGGTTCTACTTTCTCGTTTCATCCAAGCTTTATGTCCCCATTTTCATTTGATTTTCTTCCTCTCCCTCGTATAGAGCTATGGCAATAATAGCCAATTGTTTGTTAGGAAAAAAAACCATCTCTGAATTCTGATATTTCACTGAAAGCAAGGTTTGGCTACAGACGGATGTGTGTGAATTGTCGCTACTGATGAAGCACGGATAGCACTGATACTGAACTGAGGCGGCACTGATACGGAACTGATGTGTGTGAATAGTCCTTAACCGCCCCCAAAAGAAATTAATAACATATACCGGTAAAACACAAAAAAAAAACAGAACTCGCAACAAAATCAACACAAAAACTGGAGAAAGACCTCAAAACCCCATGAAGACATAAATCAAATTAATAAAAGAATAACGAAAACATTAAACAGCAAAAAATATCATTAAGCCGAAGGGAAGGCCAGAAAAATTCAGCAAAGAAATAAAACAAATTCAGAGAAAAGAAATCATAAAACAAGGAAAAAAGATAGGTACACCAGAATACAGAGAGACTAACAATATAGCCAGAAGGATGACAAAGCAAGGCATTAAAAATTACCAAGAAAGACAAATCAAAAAACTATTAAAACAACTAAAAGGCTTAAACGTTTTCAAAAGGAAGAACGCACACAAGAGAGAAATCACAAAGCTGATGGACAAAAAAGGAAACATTGAAGACAGAGATGGAATATTGTTTGTGGCTGAAAACTTCTGTAAGGAACTATACGACGCAAAAAGCAACAACGAAAATAACCGATAAGAAACCGAGAGCGAAACATCCAAAATTCTAAATGTTGGGTCAGCAGAGATCCCTGATATAGAAGAGGAAGAAATTACAAAAGCGCTAAACCGATTAAACAATGGAAAATCCCCAGGAATGGACGACATATTACCAGAAATGCTGAAGGAGGCAGGAGAATACCTGATAAAACAACTGAAAACACTTTTCAATAAATGTCCAACAGACGGGAAAATACCACACTACTGCAGGACTACCATTGTTGTTCTGATATAAATGGAGATCCATCATATCTTGAAAACTATAGACCCATGCACGAAACATGGACTCTCGCAAAAAAAATCCTAAACAAGCTGTACAGGGTGTTCAAATTTGGATGGTTTTAATAGGTTACGTCAATTTCTGAGCGAGATACAAAAAAATGAACCCCCCACTCCGAGACTCAAATTTCTTGAAATTTTGATTGGTGCAAACTGCATTTTGATATCTTCAACCGTTTAGCTGCTAGAGGGCGATTCTCGATTTTAAGCCATACGATGAAATCTTCATAACTTTTTTATTTATAATTATTCCACTCATGTGTTAGAAATCCCATAAGACAAGTGACGATTTTCAGAATTACAGCTAAAATTCTCTTTTCCATTTGTTTAACTAGAGAGAATTACAGCGATAATTCTCCCATGTTATTGTATACATGGTTGTCATGCTAATTTTTGATACAAACAAACGGTTCCTGATAGCAACCATTTATTTGTATTGATTGTTAAGATGTTCAAATCGTTTAATACATATTTATTCCCATATTTTTTTTGCATTCTCATACGTGAAATAATCCTCTAAATACCACTCGAGCTTTAAAATGAACCAGATAATTTTTCACTCATGCGTGTTTTCTCTGCAAATTTCACTCGTCCTACGGACTCGTGAAATTATAGAAAACACGCAATCGTGAGAAATTTTCGGTAATTTTGAAGCTCTCGTGGTATTATCCCCGAAAATAACTAATTTGTGTAAAAACTTCCTACAAGCACTTTTTTAAGCAGAACTCAGTCACGTTTTCAGTTTTTTTCTATTGGGCCTCGATTTCAAGATATTGACCAAAATCCGATTTTTTTCAATGGGACACCCTATATATTAATAGCTCTTGAGAAAGCTTTGCTTTTGCTGATTTCAATGATACAAATTTCGATAGGTTTATCTCTAACAGTTTTCGAGAA